GGTCGGAAAGATAGATTTTCATGAGAAAGAATGAAGAAAAAGAACTCGCTGAGAGCGGCAGAAAACAGCGAATTAGAGGATCTCAACATGTGCGGCTGCAGCTAATTACTATGTCGTAATTACCATACTAACACAGAACCTTGGGTGCACCCTTCCAACGCCGCACATACCCCGGGGTCATACACGCCCATAAATACAAGCATTTCCTTTAGCTGGCGTTCAAATCGTTTCCCACCAGATGCAAAGTGCACGCTCTTTCTCTTGGGTGAGAACCATACCGTAACCGTGCTCGAAAAACAAGCTTTCTCAACGGCTAGACACGAAGAAGCTGATCGGACAATCAAAAAATCCCACGAGGGTAGCAGAAGCACGAAAAAATCTGAGAAAGTAGCAGAAGCTTACGGTGTTCGTTGTCGGAATCGACCTTTTGGGCGAAAGCTTTTTATACGCCCATCTGCCATCTTCCCACCGAAGAGAATGGCCACTTCAAATCGGAGAGGAGCCTCTAAACTCAAACACTGCCATAGTACTTACCTACGGCGAGTGGCCAACCATTCGCTCCTACCAGTAAGCGTCGTGCGCAATGGAAACGGATTAACCTTACTCTTTCCAACAATACGATAAAGGATATCACGTTTATCCTTACTATATATAATCCATCTATTAAAAATGCATAAACTAATACATAGATATAGGAGTAGTAATAAAACAGTATTATTGCTACGCATAACATAAGGCACTGAATAATGATGAGGAGAAATTGAGGAAGTGTTGATGAGAAGAATCATACAAACAAGGCATTGTTCGAGGCAGGCAGCTGTGGGACCCGAGCGTCCTCGGTCCGGAAGAGAGGCCGATTCCTCAAAGAAACTATCCGAGCCGTCGTCCCGCCCTGAAGGTATTCGATGAGTCATCGATTAGGAAAACTGCGCTGCGACCGTAAGGCGCTACGCTTACAGTATGGTTCCAAAGAAATTGGGTCCTCAATCTTCCGAAACTTTGAATCTCATTCGAATTCTTTCACTAAACTCTTGCACAGACATACTGTGCTCAAACTTCGTAGTATTTCAAATTATTTCTCTAGGCAAATGCACTTTTTGGATTGAAGTTAGTGTATTCCCCCTCATTAACATTCGTGTGCGTGCATTTTAAAAGATAGCTCGGTCCCACTGACACACGGTAAATCCGTTGTCAAACCTTCACTGAGTACATTGGAAAACTATTGTTGATAACTTCTTAGGCCCCTGTTTTCGCAGGAATAACGTAGCAAACCTATGATAAAGCTCGCAAAGCGCAATTTACTGAAGAAGGTCAATGGTAACAAGTTCTACGCTATCAATCAGTTAGAGTACTGAAAGTGGGGCTGATAAAACCTGTTGAAGTCACAAAGCTGAAGTACCAACCAACTGCGTGTGGCCCATCGATTTGGTTGCTTTAGTATGGAACAGAGCTAAGTTGTGGATATAACCAATCACCCCACAAATCGATGTTAATAGCTATCAATTGTTTAAAATTAGCTAGGCAAAGTTGGTACAGTTTTGTGATACAGTTAACGCTTTCCCTGCCATTCCAAGCTGTCATTACAGCCAACTAATTGATGCTAGCTCACCTTGAAAAAGATTTCTTATTTTCACCTATATACAATAATAACGATGGGGATTCCTAAGAATAGCGAGATGGCAGGCAACTCTGCGAACAGTCAAGTTGAAAACCGACGCAAGGTAACTACTTTCCGCTTAGGAAGACAGTAAGAACCATGTAACACCAATTTCAGGAAGATGTGCACGTTTTTATGGTTTGTAAAAAATTGAATGAAGTCACCTATAGGAAATTTCCATGTTGTGAAGTGTTTATTTACAACCTTGTCTCCCCCTTAAGACCACACCAGGGTCATGACGCTATATGCTCACGACATCAGGTGTAAAGCTCAAGAGGTGGACATACAGAAGAATTCGCTTACCTACAGCAGTATCGTTTTCAGAGCTACATATATGCTAAGTCAAGAAGAAGGAAGTAGGCAGCAGGCAGCAAAATCAGAATATGGTATCGAATTCATTATAGTAGTGTGAACAGAAGAATAAGTAGTGAGTATAGTCAGGCGAAGAGCGAGAAGTCCAGCAGTCACAACGTGAATGCCCCTGCGACATTGGAGCGCCCTGAGTTGCATTCAAATGTGCGCGCGCGAGAAAATAACTCAAGCCGCAGAACCTTCCAATGAATAAACACAATCCTGTGAGAGGACGACGTGGTGTCAATCCCTACAAAAGTAATGAGTCAAATACTTCCTGAGACCGCCCTTGAGGCAGCCTTCTTCACTTCCTGTTTTCACTTAAGACCGAAGTTTGCCCACAAATCGCCCTCCTTGTGAGACTTCGTCACTTCCTTCAGCATTTCCCAGAAGTAAATGAAAATAGTGAAGTACCGTAGGAGCAGGATACCGACGAAGCTCCTTGCGAAACGCTCGTCCCGGAGTGCCATTTCCACTTCCTCCGGAATAAGTGGAAGGCCGTGTATCACCGAGGAGCGAGGTCGGACTTCATGCGCACTTTCTTCTCGGGTAGCTTGTGATGTGGCACCCTAAAATAACCATGGAGCTTAAACTACGCTAGGGGAACCTACTCAAAAATCGTAGAAAAATACGTGACTTGCTGAGTATAATAAGTTAGACTAGTCACCCAAGAGAACTTCTAGACGCAAAAAACCCTATCGAAACATGTGAAGGATAACCTGCTGTGCACTAGTCTTTTTCGCTGTTGTACCTCCAGTATTTATAGGAACGACCCCACATGACGATGCAACTTCTGTCATTTCCGTCACGGTTGGAGGATGAGGCGTTTTTGCAATGGCTCCAGCGCGAGGAGTATTGGCAACTAGACGACGAGTGCCTGAGGTGCCTCTATCTGAAAATTTAATTTAAATGAATGCGTAAGTAATAAGAAAGAAATCTCACCAAGAAGAGATATAAATTGGAAAAGAGAATTCACTTGCACTCGTGACGACCGAAGCAGTATACGCTGCATTGTTACCATTACTCGGAGCCGATGGAGCGAGTGGTCGGTCCCAAGCTCGAAACGCGAGTGACCAACTCACGACGGCATTCTATTGCGCACGGAACACTTCTGCTTCGTTGGCGGCACATAACTTGATGAGGCCAATACAAATTTATCAATACAATAGTTATGAAATTACCTCTCCAAAAACTACCAAATAACTATTGGCATTTGTTCGAGGCTCGATTACGGGATCTTTCTGTGCCAACTCTTGACTTTTCAACACTCATCACGACGTTCTGAAACAACAAACGCTGACTGAATGGTACAAGAAATGCAAAAACTTGCACTCAAACGCACAGCTTGATCGGATGGATTGTAACGAGCCTCTTTATCCGTCTCAGAGCTAAAAGGGTATTCGAACAGATCAATAGACAATCATAGATAGTAATCCATAGCAAAAAATCACGACATACCTCAATCCAAGCTTTTTGCTGCGCGCACGAGTGATCGGCCCTTCGAATAAACTACGTTCTTGTCGACTGGTTGATCTATAAATGCTGGAGTGCAAGTGCAAAGTGGAGTAATAAATGGCTATCGAAAAATATTCCATAATCCGGACAAAAGGATACTAATATTGATCCAAAGTGGCAATGAAGAAATCATAAACTACTGGCCAGTGCGCTGGAAGCGAGAAGATTGCACGCTTGTAACAGGCGCTGGGACTGCTCCACGACTTGGCGTTTCGCGTTGTGAGCTATGACAGTTTGGCAACGTTCTGCTTGCCGATGACGGCGCTTTATATGAAGAAAATCAGTTTACCAACAGTAGAATTCGTACTAATTGTAAAGTAAGCAGGAAAATCCCAGGACTCACGCTGCGGGCTTGCAGCCGTAACGGGAAATACATAAGCGCCAATGAGACCTATTAACTTACATGCCGCTGCTGCACTTTGTTCAGCTTGAATCTGGGACCGGCAAAGCATCTTATTCTGTTTGCCAAGCACTGCCAAGCGACTTAGATCTGGGAAGTACCTGCTAAGTTCGAAGGAGACCCCGAAAAGCAGCATATTTACCACTATATTCCGATGCCTTGGCAAACATAATAAGGTGCTTTGCCGATCTTCTTTGTTGTTCCACAAACATTACACAAACAATTGAAAAAGTTACCTGAACGTCTTCGATGACAACACCAAATAAACGCCCTAATAGTTCGACGTGTCGGCTTGCAGATCTTCTGAACAGTTCGACATTATGAACCATAAAAACCAGAGGAATCCAGCAAAAAAATGTAGAAGAAAGAATTAAAAGATAATGACAGTAGACTTACATCAAGTGCAAGCCAATGTTGTTCTAGAACTGAAGGGACGTTTTTAAGACGTTCAGGCCGCACATCGAGGAATGCCGCCTGAAGTAAGGTTTGTCATCTTAGGCATCGCATTTGAAAATCTAATGACATACGGCTTCGTCAGAATGTTCAGCGCATATGCGCTTGCGCCGAGCCGGGCATTCTTTGAGCCAAGTCCACGCACGTGCTAATTCTATTGAGCGTTGTTCCAAGAGCACGCTCAATAGAATCATGATATTCTTTTGCGAGCTTGCTCTTACGAACGCGCTTTCTCCACCGCTCACGCCGCACAAGGTGCAGATCTTCATGATACCTGCAGAGAATCGTTCCAATTATTCAAAAAACTGCTACGCTAGAAATTTATTTTAGTCAAAGGTGGTAAACAGTTCTGCTTTCTGCGAATTTATTTGACGGTAGAGGCACCAGTGACTGCATGTTTATTCCTCATCACATCCTCTTTTATACGGCCCTTATCATCCTTCCGTGATCCTACGTATCGCAGTTCTGCGTAGTATTCGTGCAATGTCTGGCTCGCCTTCTGCGTCCTGGACATTAATCCTAAATCTTTCCGCCATTAGCGATTTCTTCGGTTTAAATTGTTGCTCCACTGCCGCTCTCAGTTCCATTAAAGGCACAGTTCACGATAATTTTGGGTAATCCATATCCGACGAAAAGTGGAAGATGGAAAACAGTGCGATGAAGGTAAAGGAATTGCGTGAATAGGTGTTCCCAAAAAGCAAGTCTTCGAAAAAATCGTAAAAGGNGAAGTGGAAGAATGCGACCAGATGTATGAAGAAAAGTAGGGCGTTCGGACGAGCTATACAATGTGGGTCATTGCGTACGAGTGGGTGCTGGTGCAAATCACCGACAACGGTAAACAAAAATTCATTCACGTATAAGCATAAGCATACGAAAAACCCTAGGGAGAGGTGACCATGAACGACTTCGAATGAATCTTGGCATCCTGAATCTCGGTATGAAAGTGTGGTATAGCCTCGGCCAGATGGTACGGCTCTCTATTCAGTCAACGTTCCGACGTTATCGCCTTCGTCAGGCCATAGAAGCCAAAAAGTGTTTGAGTCATCCAATTCATGGACCATTTCAGACTTCAATTAGCTCAAATATAACCTACAGATATCTAGAAAGGTCTCGTGAACCACAACAAGGGAACCCACCTTAGAAATAGTGAAGATGACATGTGGACCACCTTTCAAACTGCCTATTTAAACGATTTTGCAGTGGGTGGGCCCCGGGTGACCTGACCCCTGACTTCAAGCCGATGGCAACCGTAGCCCACACAGGTCGATGAACGGGCGAGTTCACTTGTTATGGCCTGGCATCCGTCTTTCCGGTTAATTTTGAGATCTTTTGCACAGATCCAGACCGCTTCCAAAGTTTTGCGCACGGAGGTCGTGGGCTCCCGCATCAAAATCCTGACTGACCAGGGAGGGGTAGTCTACTTATCTTGGAACATTGAATTCAGACCCAGATAAATCGATAGAGTTTTGAATGCTGTATACGAAAATGGAAATCAAAACTGCAAAATGATTCTCCTTAAAAAGTTATGGGGGCCCGAATTTCGCTCGACAGTAGTATCAGTTGTCTAAAGAAATGTCAGAAAACGTTTAGAGAGCCTTTGGTAAAATGAAAAAACACTTTGCAAAAGTGCGGACAATGGCGGGGAGGGACCCCTCATTTTACTCCCACGAAGCGAGAACACTACCACTATGTCACATGGTCGTTTGATATGGAAGCGACGGGTTCGCATTTCCAATTGATACTACTATCGAGCAAAATTCGGGCCCCATAACTTTTTAAGGAGAACCATTTTGCAGTTTTAATTGCCATTTTCGTAAACAGCATTCAGAACTCTATCGATTTATCTGGGTCTGAATTCAAAGTTCCAAGATAAGTAGACTACCCCTCCCTGGTGAGACCTCAAACTCCACCCCTCCGTGGCGTTTCCTACGATGGTCTCCGAAGGGAGTTTCAAGCCTTGATTCCTTCAGACCAGCTTGGTGTTCCTTGATCCTACATATTAAAGGCCGCCCGGCCTCACCTATGTATTCGTCCCGGCAGGCCTCACAAGTGATCAAATAGATCACCCCTGACGTCATGCAGCCCCCCTCTCGCCCGTTGGGACAGATGACACAATTGAGGGTTATGCAAAGACGGACATACAAACGCTTTTGAACCAGCTTTCTCCTGAGATTAGTGGGAGCAACCTCGACCACCCGCACCAACAACAAGGCCACACTTGCGCAGAGCCGTTCTTACGTCAGAACTGACGGAGTCTGATACGAAGGGA